GCCCGCATTTGGCTGGAGATCATAAGATTGATTTGCTTATTCTGCCTTCTTCTAGAAGCTGGAGCTTGGTCATGCAGCTGAACTATCAGAAGCTGTCTGCTATGCTATGCTTTCTCTTGTTCATCCCCAGTCACTGACTGTGCCACACTGGTTTACGGGGGTTTACTATCACCGCTGAAAACTCCAGCTTTGAATAGGATTAATAGTGCGTGCCTGTCATATTTCAACATGGATGCTGTTCCACAAAAACAGGGGCAGCCATTATGCATAGTGCTATACAAAATAACCTGATAACATTTATTTTTATAAATCTCTTATATTTTAATTTGATACTTAGATTTACATATTTGGTAGAAAGTGTATGCAAACTTTAGTTCCCTCCCTCCCCAGCTCTGATTTACAGCTTTTTTAAGAATGAGGGTTGACACCAGCCCCTAAAAAACGGGATTGCCCTGTTTTGAGACAAAAATGTCTCCTGTCCCCTTTGGACTTCAGACAGGATGCCTCCCCCCCCCCCCCGTATTTGAGTTCAATCACTGTTGGTGCAGCTGACAAGGAGCCCAGCCTGGCGTGAGCGACAATAGAAAAAAGGGAAAAGGAGAGACCTCCTCAGCTGCCAGCTACTGATTTAACACTGTGCAAGTCCGTTCTCACTTGACTCCCTCTGCCACTCTGATCTGACCTCTCCTCTTCCCTCCTCCATCCTCGAGCCTCTGACATCAGCATGGGCAAGAGGCTAGAGGTGTAGCTCAAGTATCCCTGGGACTTGGCCCCTGCCTGACTATGTTAGTTAAGGGGAAGAGTGGGGCCAGGGTGGTGAGGGAGTTGGGAGGCCAAATTTGGGAAACTCATCTCTACAAAGGGGGCAGGATTTGGTGGGCCCCCCAATTCCCACCCCTGACCTGTCCCATATTTTGCCTGACCAAAGGTGGCAACTGTTGTGTACTGAAGTTCTCACCCTGTAGATAGATACTGTAGATAGTTTTCACTCAGGTCCACATATGCAAATAAGGAATTGAAAGTGACGTTCAGTGATTGGATAGTAACAGAAAGTTGTTACTGTTGTTTTGTAGTTGAGCTCTATATAAGCAGGTTGGCTGAACCCTTCAGTTCAGTTCTGTTCTAGCCTGTGAATAAACAAGAGCTGTCTGAAGAATCGCTGTGTCGTCTGATATGTTCACCCACAACTTAACAGCAACCTTATTTAGAACCAACACTTGTGGCTAAACCTGCAACAAAGTAACATGATTTGGGATGCTGGACTCCACCCAATTGAGCTCCCATACTTTATTGTTCTTTGGAAGTCACTGCTCTGTTGTCATGCTTACAAGAGCTCCAGTCTATTTAAAACTGCCCTGTATAGTTTCAGTTTCTAAAGATGTGGCTTCAAAATCATCCTCTTTCAATGCTCAGCCATTAGGGCCCTTTTAAAAAGCGGGATTTATAGTGACAATAAGTCGGCAAGCGTAGCAGGAGAGCGCACAAAGGAAAAAACAATAGCAGCCGAAATAACCGATTCTGGCTGCTTCCCCTAGAGAGATAATTATGCAGCCACTGTCAACGCGCAGTTCAGAATCAATTTTCAGATTCATTCCAGATCAAATGTTGCATCCAAAAATAAATATTCCACTATAAATATTAACATCAATGAGCAAGAGGAAGGAAGGAAGGGGGACAGAAAGTACTGGAGATCCAGGAAAACTGAGGAAGGGGATACTCTTGCAAGCCAAGTCTGCATTGTAAAAGTCACATTGGATGTGCGAATCGCACCAGTAGTGGTACTCAGGCCAAAATATGTCAAATTGGGATACTGTTCCAATTTGGCAATGTTATTACCATTTGAAATGCTTATTCCCCCACTCCCTGCAGGCAACTTCATACCCATCCAATAAGTGTTCCATGTTACAAGAGTAGGAATAATGTATTCTTCTCCCCCAATGTTTGTTTCTCTATAATGGTTTAAAACAGGAATTGTTAATTTGTGAATAAGTTAGACATTTGGGAACATTGTTGCATCCTCGTTTTGCCTCATAGTCATTGTAGACCAGCAGCTAGGAAGTTGGGCTAAAGGACCTGGGCTGAGATCCTGAGACTGTTTTCAGTATTGCAAAATTCCAACATGTAAGACACTTCCATGTAGGAATTAGCATGTAGCCCTCAGAGCACATAATCCTGTCACCTTAAGGCTTTCACTTCACTTGTTTATTATTGTGGGGTGGGGGAGGGGAAGAATAGCATGAATGCAAAAACCAAGGGATCTGGCTGTTATATATTGTGGCTATTACACATTGGACCCCCTCTTTTTGTCCCTTGAATATCCTTTAAAATAAAATAAAAATGGCAGCTGGTACGAATAACTCTTTCGAGAAACATCAAATTAGTATCAAAAACATGTTTTCCTGAATTACAGTTGTACTATTATTAGTTATACGGACGTAAAATCATAAGGCAGCTAAGAGAGTATGATGAAGTTTGAACATCCTCTCTCTTTTCCTTACATTGTGCAAGGTAACACAGGCTGCATTGTTAAAATACTTCAAAATCACAGAATGAAACACTAACTCCTAGGCTGAAAGCAGCACCATTTCCCCCCTTAGTGATTCTGCACTGCTTATTTAGGAGTGATGCAATTACCTTCCTACAGCTTGAAGTTTTATACAGCTCTTGTAGCAATTAATTCTCCTAATTTGCTCCATAAGGCTCTTCTTGATATATATCCTCCTTCCAGCATTTAAATCAGGCCTGTACAATGTTTGCTCCCACCCTGTCCTAAGCCAAATATATCCCCCAGCCATATATTCCGACAATGCCTATGCCTTCACAACCCCAGGCAGACAGAAAACCCAAGAGGCGTACCGGCTGTGGGTGGACTACTGAATATGTCTGGTGGGTAGCAGCAGCTAGCCTGGCATCTTATCAGCAGTGAGGTTGGCGCAATAAGGCCACCATTGCTTGTAGGGAACTACTTGCCATCTATGGTCTTTCTTGTGCACAAGCTCCGATAAAACTATGAAAGTCATGCAGTCACTCTCAGGTGGGCACAGCAGTGGTGCCATGACCAGAGTGATGGAAGGAAGAGGAGGAGGAGGAGGAGGAGGAGGAGGAGGAGGAGGAGGAGAAGAAGAAGAAGAAGAAGAAGAAGAAGAAGAAGAAGAAGAAGAAGAAGAAGAAGAAGAAGAAGAATCCCCAGGCCAACCAACCTGGCTGGTTCTGAAGCAGCAGTATTCACCCATCAGCACCAGGCTCCAAGTCCTGCCCTCCACAGCTGCTCTTCCCCCACAGAAAGCTAGTTGCAGTCCATCTGCTGCTGATCTCAAGTTGGCATGTCAATAGCATACAGCGGGCAGCGGGCAGGCACCTGGTCCCTTTCTTCAGAGGCCACCCTGCTCATTTGCTTGTGTCATTATATGGCAGAGTAGGAACCTACAGGAGATAGAACTCATTGAGCTACCTGATACTGAGTCAAACCATTGGTCCATCAAGGTCAGTACTGAGTACAGTAGAATCCAGACTTGTGGCCCTGCAGATGTTGTTGGACTCCAACCCTCATGAGAACCAGCCATCATGGCCAATGGTCAGGGATAACAGTGCCCTACTCCTTCTCAGCAGCTTCCCAAGATTGTAGACAGGAGTCTCTCCTAGTCCTACCTGGAGATGCCTGAGACCTTCTGCATTCAAAGCAAATACTCTATGGTTGAGCTACTGCCTGGGACCTACAAAAAACGGAGCCAGCTCTGGTCACAATCCATGGAGGCTTGACATACATATTTCTCTATGCTATATTGAAAGCTACACGGATTTTAAAAATCCCCACTCCTTATACTGATTGACTTTGTTTCAGAGCAAAAGAAAAATTACAATCAATTTTGTAACAGGCGTGCAAGTCTCATATAGGCAACCTCACATGACAACTGCAAGCACCACTGTTTTGTCATATAAATAGGGTGCACACAAGATCAGAAGTCGCGGGCTGTTGTGCAATTTGGAGAAGACATGTGCTGATCTGCTCACCATTTGAATGTTAATGGAATTGCCTTCTGCGCAGGAATTTTGAAATGCTTGGAGGCTCATCACAGCCATTCGCTGATGAATGGCTCTGTGAAATTGACAATTTCCCAGTCTCTGCTTCCCATCTATAAGATATAGTAGTCACCTACCTTGCAGGCTAAAAGAGTAATGAAATATGGAAACATTATGATAGTTCCCGATGCCTAGGAATAAGAAAGGGTATACATTTACAAGAGCATTTTCCATTACAGTTTAAAACTGGTGCTAAATTTTCATAACGGGAGAGATTTGTGTCTAAACACTCTGCCCAAAAACCTTCTCCCTCTATCTCCCACTATACAAGATCCTCTTTTGGTCACCATGCATATCCTCAGTCTTTGGATGTATGCACACCAACCCATTTGTAGCACAAATATGTCGTTTGTCTTTAATAAGCTGCTTTCATTTGATTGATTCTAAATTCTGCTGTCCGCAAGGTGGGGGCAGTTACTTGGTATGCATTTAGAAACCCTCCCTGATTAGGATATCCACACATTTCCCCCCCTGCACATGTTCCAGGTGAATGAAATGGTGCTTGCAATCTGGGTATATATCCACCCACAGTGTCACTAGGCAGGTGCAGATACTGCCCCTATTGCTGGGACTGCCTACATCTGTTTTCACCTGTTTTCGAATGGACACACTATGGGGCTGTCTAGAATAAACCTACAATGACCTTTTATTTTCAGAAAGAAACCAGATGCTCAAAAAGTGTTTTTCAGAGCAAAAATATGCAACGGATCTAGAATGTGTGCGGACTAGGTAGGGGGGGGGGGAATACCAAGCTCTCAGTCTCCCTTGATGTTAGAATAAAATGTGTGCAGGGCTGAATCCTGACACTAGCAAGAGATTCCAGAGCTGAGCTTTGGAATTAAGCCCTGCTTATCGTGTAAGATTTCAAGTCTATGAATATTAATCTCCAGACTCAATTTCTCACATGCTATTTTTTCCAGATGCTTATCCCAATTCCGAAGTGATCTATGTGTGGACTCACAGCCCGGCAGCATCCGTGGGTAGTAGCAGAAGACGGTTCAAGGCTTAACCAGTATCACTTGATAGGGCAAACTGTCGGTTCTGAGAACATCAGTACCAGCACAGGTGAGGAGGGAGAAGGGATGCTGTTTTTGGCAACTCATGTATTTATTTTTGCAAACAGTTTAGATTCCTGAACATCAAAACATCTAAGTAATACATCACAGAAGCATTAGAATATAAGAATGAAACAAGAGCCAGGCAGATTCAAAATGCTGGTTGTGGACAAATTCAAAAACAATACCAAGCTAGGGGAAAAAATCAGTTTTTTTTCCCTAGCTTGGTATTGCACCATTAAAAAAACACACGGTGCAACGATACTGAAAGCCAACTGACCCACTTAGCCATGGGATACTGTCAGCAGTTGTGGACTGTTGTGGTCTAGCAGTGGTGTGGAGTGAGAGCTGGTCTCTCAGGTTACCTGGTCTTGAGATGCAGAGGATGTTACTGTATATACCAACAATAAAACATTGAGCTTGGCCTGGTAGCATATTGGCAGCCACTGCAATTCCCTGAACAAAGGTGTTACATGATAATAGTAGTCTTTTCCACATAGCAATCTAGCAGCTGCAGTCAGCACCAGCTGCAGCTTCAGGATCAACCTCAAGGGCAGAGTGAAGTGCATTGAAATAATCAAGTATTGAGGATACCAAGGCATGAACCACTGTACCTAAATTATATGAATGGCTGTGGGTGGCACCTCAGCCAAAGCTGGTAGAAAGCACTCCTAGCACTGAAGCCAGCTGGGCCTCCGATGTTTTAGTCAATGTGGAAAATGAGAAGTTCACTTCTGGAAATTTCAGGCACATTTTTAAGGTCATTTACCACCGGTTGATTATATTTCCACTTCCCTCTTTTGTTCTCACAGTGAGTGTGGATTAAATAATTGGTGCTCCCTTTCCCATGATATTTATGTATCATTGCATCTGTATTCCAGCGTTTCTCCAAGGAGCTCAAGCATTCTCCGCCTCTCCATTAATTTCTCACAACAACCCTGTGAGGTGGGTTAGGCTGAGAGGATGTGACGGGCCCCCAAGGTCACTCAGCAAGCTTCATGGCTAACTGGGCATTAGAACCCAGCATTCTTACCACTGCACACTGCTGCCTTGTTTGGGTGTGGGTTGGAAAAGGAGGCAATACTTACTCAAGCATGCATATATACCATTTGCTTGAGCAGAACCCACTGAAAAGCCTAGTGACAGGAATAGGGAACTGCAGCTCTTCCCATTTTGGTGGACAACAGCTTCCATCATCCCAGACTCCCAGCCCCATGTTGCCTGGGGCTGCTGAGAGTCAAGAGTTCAACAGCCTCTAGAGAGGACTACATGTTCCCCATCCCTGCAGGAGGAGAAGCTGATACAGAAACGCTTGACCTGTGATGCCTCATTCCCCCATGCAAGTCACCACTGGATACTGCAGTGCTCAAGTGAGAACACTGCATGTGTGCGCCACCAATTCAGTGGCTTTACTGACTGTGAGCATGCAGTCAGGTTGTGGTATGCCCGATTCATGCTCGGACAGCGTCCAGGATCCAAAATACCACATGTATTTTCAGTCTTTCTCTACCATATATGTGTGACACAAGTGTGTCATGCAAAGACTCCCTGATTTTGCATGCTTTTTCTCGTGTTTGATTTGGGCCGTCACACATCTAGGCTGATGCATGTGCCGCTTGGCCTACATCACACTCTTTTAGGTGCATGAGGAGGATTCCAATCTACCGTCCGTGCCTGGCTACACATGTGCATGAGACCGTAGTGATTCCCATTTAATTAATACAGAGTGAATACAGACCGTAGTGATTCCCATTTAATTAATACAGAGTGAAAAGGTAGAAACTTGGGTATGTACCCAAAGGCAGCTATAGGTATTGTGGTGATAAAGGAGCTTACTCTATGGGACTATGTTCAGGGGGGAAACACAATGGGGAACCTGTTGAACTACAGTTCCCATGGGCCCTATCAGCTGAAGCTGATGAGAGCTGGGGTTCAGCAACATCCGAAGGGCCCCACAGTTCCCCACTCCTGCTCTAAAAGTGACAGCAACCTAGCAATCCAAAGGAAATGCTATTCTTTGTCCATGTTCTGAATATAGGACACACCTAGCAAGCAGCATAAATCAGTCCTTGAATACCTCTTGAATTTGCCATATTTTACACCCTGTCTCTTTAACAGCTGCATGAGCACAAATCCAAGAGGCACATCTCTACAACCCGGGGAAAGCTGCGCCTGTTGGATGGCTGCCTTCGTGCCCAAAGCCCAAATCTTCTGCGGCAGCAGCATAGTCCGACACTTTGGCGCTAAGGAAAGGAAGGCCCTTGAGGGGAACCGGGGACGAGGCGCCCGCAGCTTCCCCCGCGTTTTGCAGAGGCTGCTTTCGCTCGTGCCGGCTTATTCCCCTCTTGCAGGAGGCGAACAACCGCCTACGCGTTTTGATCTCTCCCTCTCTCTCTCTCTCTCTCGAGCTTTAAAATGATTTGTTTGATGAAACGCATTTGGAGGCGGGCGGGGGAGAGAGAAGGGGGGAGGAAGTGGCAGCTGTTGCCTGGCTTTGCAGCGCGTCCGAAGGACCACGTGGCTGCAAAGGAGGCGCTAACCCGAAGGATTCTCCCATTTCCTCCCTAACTGGAAGTGGAGGCGCCAGATGTGGCAGCATTAGGGAACTAAAGAAGCTTTAATCCCGCGCCCAGCCACCCACGTGAGACCCCCCTCCCCCGCTCCCGGCCTGGCTCGGGGTTCTATGTCAGGACAATCCTGGCCGGCGATTGGCTGCAGCGCGTTCGGAGGGGGCGGGGGAGGGAGGGCCGCGGCCCCGGACCGAGGCCCGGGAGTCACATGGGGGTGGCAGACAGAGGGGCTGCAACAGGTTACATAACGGCCTCGCCTTCGGGAACCAGGCGGGGACGGCGTTGTGCGGTAATTAGAAACTAAGCACCTCGCCCGGGGCGGAGGGGACGAGGGGGCCGCACGCTGCGCCCATCGGGGGAGACGCCGCCGAGGGAAACGCGGAGCTCCTTTGTCCCCGGGGTGGTGGCGCAGACCTCCGGAGGGAAACCAGCAGGGTCCCCCGGGGCTGATCCGGGGTGGGGCGGAGATGCTGCCTCTTCGATCAGGAGAAGGGCTATTTTTAAGGGATCCCTTCAAGGAGACAAAGGCAGACACGGGGCTAATGGGAAGGCGAAGCGATGGCACAGCTCCAAGCTGCCTCGTTCGCATCAGCAGAGGCGCCCGCAGCTCTTCGCAAGCGGCGACCCGTCGAGAGCCCAGCGGGCTGCTTTTGAAATCCAAAGGGCGACTATAAGGGAGGGGGGTGGGCGAGGAGGAAGGGGCGGCGGCGGAACGGAACTTCGCACGGAGCGCCACAAACCTGGCAATTGTCTGATCAAAGCTAAGATCGCACCGATTCCCCCCAAACCTCACATCCAGGGCTCCACAAAAGAAGCGCGCACCGATCCACAAGTCAAAAAGCTTTCGTTTTGTTTGGGGCAGGGGAGGAGGGATGGTGGAAGTTAGAGGAGCACCTGTACGATGAAACCAGGGCGGGCAGGTAGCAGCAGCAGCAGCAGGCGGCCGAGTTTCTTACCAGTTCACCATCATCGCGGCGTTGTTCTCTGCGATGAAAGGCAGCTCCCCTCTCGCCTTCAGAATCGCCAGGAGGAAGATCCAGAGCGCGTGCCGAGGCATCTCCTAGGGTCGTGCGCGGCTCCTCGGAGCAAAACCACAATCCCAAGCGAGCGGTGGGCGCTCCAGGGTGCCAGGGGACTCAACTCGGCCACTACTCTGCAGGGCACTTGCGAAGGGGGGCGAACAGCTGCAGCCTCAAGGAAGCAGCAAGATTCGTAGCAGAAATAAAAATGTTAGTGCCCGGGGGCACCGCCTCCCTTAAGGTTCGCAAAGGTTTAAGCAAATAAAATGTTGGTTTTCAACATCAGTAGGTTTGCTTTTCCCCCTTTCTTTCTCCCCCTCCCCGTCTTCTGCCTTCTTTCCCCCCTTGCTAACGTCCCAGGTTACATCTGTGCGGGCTGGGTTGTGATTGCAGGGTGGATCACAAAGAGCAGGACACAGATTGTAACCAGGGATTAGCAAAATACAAAAATCCGATTTTACACAGGGGAAGCATCAGTCAGCTATGGATTTTCTGGGCTTCATCAAGCTCGCAGGAGGCCTGTAATCGGGGTTACTTGTGAACGGATTTCCAAGATGTTCTGTCCTTCCACAGAGCTGTGGGATCTGAAAATAACAAGCATAGACCCGTGAAAGAATTTCGCAGTTTGCGTATTTTGCTCCTGCGTCGTTTCCCCCCTTTGCAATTGCTTCTTAAAAAGAAAAAAACAACACCCCCCCCACACACAGCACCACACCACCTATAAATAATATGCCATTTTTATTTTAAACCATGCAACAAATGGTGAGAAGGTGGAAGGTTTGGAATGATGTGAAGCAGATGTGCTCACAGCGAGGGCTGCTTCTGCTCTTCACCAGGGACTGAAATCAAATTGGTCCAAAATCCAAGACCACATCATGCATGGATACTACCTGCAATATGCTTGGTTTGGAAATCAAAGGAGCCAGTGTGGTGTGGTGGTCCGAGTGTTGGATTTGTGGGAATGTTCTGGGTGCAGGAAAGGATATATTGACTAATTATATCCTGATCCAACTTGTGCTAACAAGTTCCCAAAATATCAGCAGAGTTTACATACATTCCCCTTTAGTACGCAACGGTAACGTGTGCACAGGTTCGCTAGAACCTCTATAATAATTACCCTGGTAATTTCCCCTTTAGTTCCCTCTTAAAAACAAGACACGACACAGTCTTCATAAAAGTATAAAAGAGTTTACTCACGTCCTGTTCACAATGTGATCCCAGACGGCAGACAGGCTTAAAAAGGTTACATAGATTTAGAATCTATCTCATAGCAAGATAGGCCTATCTCATAGCAAGATAGGCCTTATCTCCTCTCTTGGCTGGGAGCCAAGAGGGCATCCTTAGGTGTTTCCTTGTCGAAGGAAAATGGCAGAGAGAGAGAGATGGCTGCCTGCCCTGTGCTTTTTTGTCATCACCTGCACAGGTGAGGCCACACCCACCTCTGGTCACATGCGGAGGAAGTCCGTCCCCCAGGAAGTTTACCTGCTTGCTGGACAGACATCCCCCCATGGTTCTAAACATGTACACTCTAGGAATGTTGTCATTGACTGCTCCTGTGTTTACATCCCACAGTTGTGAGGATAAAATGGGGGTGGGGAGAACTATGCATGCCTCCTTGGAGGAGAGGCAATAAAGAAATAATGTGTTGCTTTCAGCGGGGTGAGCATGATGCAGAGGGCTGCTTCTGCATGTGGGTCACCTTACTTGCGATAGGGTGCCAGGCTCCCATGGAACCAGCCTTTGGGACAGCCACTGCAGGTCTTTTGGGAAGCACCAATCTCAAGAAGAGATTCTGCAGTGGATCTCAGATGGAAAGTCCTGGACTCAAATGATGCAGAACTTTAAGGCCTTGCCAGTTTTGGGAAGCCAGATGTAGTTTTTGAGAAAAGGGACGACACTTTCGTATATATTTCTTGCTCTCACTTGGAACCATTTGGTGCCTGCTTACCCCTAAATGAGACTCTAACTAAGTTTTAGTGGGTGACTTGATTATTTATTTTAAACCAGACTATGTTATAGATCCAGCATATTCAGCTTTAGCCTAGGTTTCTCCTCACAGCAAAAATATACATCTCGCCTCGAATGAATCCTGTTGCAAGATCCGTACCACATACAATCTCTCTACAGTCTGGAGCTCCTTAAGTGTGCTTGGTAGGAATTACTATGTTCTTTAAGAGTTGAACAACTCTTCATGTATTCAGCAGGTGCAAAAATTGGTAGCATATTAGTCCTTTATGCAAACTCATCTCCTTTCTACTGGTGCACATAGATCCACATATTTATGGATTATTAAAATCAAAGAAAAATTATGTGTTAAGGTGTGTAGTGGATTGCATAGAGTAAATTTGCATAGAGTACAGCCCTGGTGATGTCATCACTAAAGCTACAAGGAGACAGTAATTTGGGACACAGTAATTGCCTGCAGTCTGTAGATCACCATGCTATACAATTGTAAGGGGTAGGAACTCTCCGTGGAAATGATACAGACCTTGAGACCAGGTCCTCCAGTGGAAGCTACAGAAATGATTCCATGTGACAATAACTATACTGCAGCCTTTGCCAACCTGGTGCCCTCCAGATGTTTCAGATCACAATCATAGGAGCCAATTCCTAGGTCCCTTCAGCAGCCCCAATAAAATATTTGAGGGGGTCGAGCCCACCCCACCCCACAATTTGCCATCTTGTGATTGGCACCTCCAATGGGCATTGTAATTAAAACTTCTTGAGGGCACTAGATGGGCAAAGACTAATTGATTCTCCACAACAATGGGAGAGAATCCTTGTCAGTGCTAATTGTCACTGAAAATGAGTGGCAGAGGCATGAGGATTCCCCCATAAGTTGTGCAGTGCTCCAGAATAAATGTTCCACATAATAGCTGCTCCATAAATAAACTCTTATGGGGAAGCATTTTCCAGCAGCATCCATGTGGGGCCACAACATGGATTGAGCGGGACCGTGGAAGGTCACTCTTCTTCACCAACAACTGGGTAGATAGGCAGGGTACTAGCACAAGCTGAAACATCATGAACGAAGTCTACGAAGCTTGGGTACCAGAGAGCATCTCAGCTTAGAAATAAGCTTCAAGCGGATGGGTCTTGCTTGGCTCTAACTCTGTCCTCACCTTACTTTATAGCACAGCCTGCCCCCCCCCAAAAAAACCAACAACCTGGGAACTGTAGTTAAGGCTGCTGGGGATTGTAACTCTCCTAGGGGTAAACATTTCTGAGGTCTCTTTGGAGTGGAGCCTTTTAAATGTATGGTGTGTATGCTTTTGTTCCCAGCCAGTGGCTTATGAGTACAAAAAGAAGTCCTCAGTTCATTTCCTTTGTTTGAACCATCCAATATTGTCATATGGAAGAAGTGCTAGACAGAAGACAGCTGTTTGTGAACCGGTGCTCTGGCTTTTGTTGATAACTTATGTGTGTCATTTTATCCTCTTCTGCCACCTTAGGTGAATATACTATAATGAGAGCACACTTTCACCTGAAAAGAAAGATTGGCTATTTCGTCATCCAGACATATCTTCCTTGTATTATGACGGTGATCTTATCCCAAGTATCATTTTGGTTAAACAGAGAATCTGTCCCTGCTAGAACAGTCTTTGGCAAGTATTTCACTTCTCTCTGGTGTTTCTTTTTAAGTGACCTTTACTCTAAGGCAGGGGAAGGAGAACCCTAATCAGGTGTCCTGGTGACCTAACCACCATTGGTAGGAGGCAATGCTTAACTCTTCCCCTGCCAACCAGTTTCCCCCTGTGCATGCCTCTGTCTCAGGCAGTTCCTTGCCTTTTCTCTCCACCCCCTCAGCCCCACCAGCAGGGTCTGAAGGAAGCGGGGGCACATGCCAGCTTCAATCACAGAAGCAAGGAAATGTACATTAGAGTCCTCCATTGGACAGGAAGCTGCATTCCTACATCTCAGCCAGCGTGCAGCCTGATTTGGGCAGAGGGCACAGTTATTCCTGAAGCCAAACACCATGTGTCCCATTTATCATAGCAGCCTGCCTGATTGAAGTAGTGGCCACTCACTTTCTATGGATTTTGACCATGCCAGGGGAACCTCACTGCCAGAAACCACCCAGATCATGTAGGCCAATGATCACCAACGGCTTTTGGACTGGTAGGCATATATGCAAAATGGAGAAACTCTTTGTTAACACCACACACACACACACCCTGCTGCCAAGCACACATCACAACCTGTTCTACAGGCTGCAATTGAATGCTTCCTTCAATCCTGCTTTCAGCATGGGGAGGGCACCCTGGGATACCTGGAAGGTCTCTGCAGGCATATGTCTGCCCCTGATCCACATGCTGTTAGTATCCCAGTTTTTAGGTCTTCATTCCACATTATGACTTCTATTTTCCTCCCTCAGTATTGCACGTCTCTAGATTTGATATATTGGGGCGCTCGCGCTGCATCAGGCTTTGCAATTTCCAAGGAGCCGATCAATGCTTAATAGCAAGCGCCATCTTTAGAAGTATTAATTATTCATTTTATTTCTTCGTCCCCTAATTGCAAATGTGGCTCTAGGTGACATACAAAGTCAGGGTGTACATTTATCCATGTTTTTTAGGCCTGTGCTAATAGCATTTTACTGCATTTGCCATTGCCTGCGGGCTACAAGCAATAAATATTTATTGGATTGGGCATACAAAGGAAGATAAAACAAATCAAAACTGCGATTCTGCAATTCAACAATTTGCTTTTCAGCAGAACACCCCTCCAAGGCAAAAACTCATCAATTGCCATCAACCCACAGCAACTAAAACCAATGGTGTGTTTATATGAAATGCCGGTTGAGGTTGGTAGATGCTAAAAGGATGTTCAGTATTTAAGATGTTGAAAGGTTTGGGGAGAAGATGGAAAGTCTAAGTGTAGGTACCAGGCAAACCTCTTTACAGAGAGCATTCTGCAAATGGGAAGCTACTGAAGAGAAAGGTCCTTTCCCTTGGAGCCACTCTCCCTACTTCATGCTGAGAGGACACTTGGGAGAAGGACCTGCCAAGATGATCTGAGGGCATGTTTGGGAAAAGCCGTTCCTCCTTGCTATCAGGGTCCCAGGCCCTATAGGTCAAAGTCAGCACTGTTCAACTAATGAACCTTCCTCAACCTGACTCCCTTGAGTAGGAGCACCAGGGGAGGGATGAGGGGCCAAGTCCCAGAGTCCTCCTGCCACCTTCCCAAAGCGGGGCAAGCACTTCTGGGCTTGAGGAGGAGGGAAGGAGGGCTCTAGGACCCTGCCAGAGCCCTTCTGCCTCCTTCCCAAAACTCAGCGCCTTTTACCTAGCTTTGGGAAAGTGGGGTGAGGGCTGGAGAGGGCATCAAATTTTGGCCTTGCACAGGGTGCCATATTACCAAGGTCCACCCTGATTGCAGCTCCCATTGTTTCTGATTGTTGACCATGCTGGCTGGGGTTGATGGCAGTCTGAAACATATGGAAGGCACCCAGCTGGAGAAGGCTGACCTAAGACATGCAGGTAATTCTAAAAGTTGCTCCTTCTTTTCTTTTCAAGGGGTCACTACGGTCCTTACCATGACAACTTTAAGCATCAGCGCCCGCAACTCTCTACCAAAAGTGGCCTACGCTACCGCGATGGACTGGTTCATAGCCGTGTGCTACGCCTTTGTGTTTTCTGCACTGATTGAATTCGCCACAGTCAACTACTTCACAAAAAGAAGCTGGGCCTGGGATGGCAAGAAGGCATTAGAGGCTGCAAAAAAGAAGGTAGCCTGGATTGCTCAGTTGGTTAGAGCATGGTGCTGATAACGCCAAGGTTGCAGTTTTGATCCCCGTATGGGACAGTTGCATATTCCTCTATTGGAGGGCATTGGATTATATGATCCTCAGGGTCCTTCCAACAATATCAATGCTATGATATGCATCTCTCTGAAGAGATAGAATAGTTACCCTGAATAGGAAGGTGGGAGCTCTCTGACTTGGTTAAAAATTGAGTGAACATAATCTACAGGAAGTGTCCTTGTGGCTGTGATCTTCCACAGTGCCATTCCACTAGATTGCCCTCCTAACATTTCACAATGCTACTTAAGCAAAGGAACTATCCCTTTGTCTTTAGTGAGACAATGGATGTCATGGGGCCAGTTCTACCATTTGATAGAGTAAGCTAACTGCCTCAACCAGCTGATTCTGAGCATCAGTAAAGGGCAGCAAACAGTTACTGGTGTAATTTACTGTTATTGTATGTTACAGCTATAGAGGGAAAGGCACTCATAGGAATTTCTATCAAAATAACATCACCTTCCTTGCATGCTTATACAGGCATGTGATGGCCAAGTGGATTGGGGGTGGGGGAGAGATTTGCAGCTCTACCTCAGGCCCTAAATATCTGAGATCAAGACTGCTTTTTGCTATACTTTTTTGGCCTGGACCAAAAATATCTGGGTGGGGTTTCTTTCTCCTTTTTTGAAAAAAAAAAGCAAAAGAAAGAGCACTAGTTCCAAGCCTAAGGAGTGGTAAAGGAGAAAACCCTTT